GGTCCTGAAGGGCTGGAATGGGGAGCTCGGGGTGGTGGTTGGCCCTGCCCAGCCACACCGCAGAGTCACAGACTCGCCTACATTGGAAAAGACCTTTAAGCTCATTGAGCCCAGCCATCGACCTAACACTGACAAAACCCCATCCCCAGACACCATATCTACGTACTCTTCAATACCTCGGGGATGGGGACTCCACCACTGCCCAGGGCAACCCATTCCAATGCCTAATTACCCTTTCAGTAAATAAATTCTTCCTAATATCCAATCTAAACCTTGCCTTCGTGCAATTTGAGGCCATTTCCTCTTGTCCTACCACTTGTTACTTGGTTGAACAGACCAGTCCCCACCTACCTACAACCTCCTTTTAGGCAGGTGTGGAGAGTGATAAGGTCTCCCCTCAGCCTCCTTTTCTCTGGGTGAAATAACCCCAGTTCTCAGCCACTGCTCCAAGGATGTGCACTAGACTCCACCAGCTGACTTGAGTTACCTGGGGCGGAGCCTCGCTTTGTGCTTTTTCCTTCTGGCTGCCCCGTAAGTCTTGTTTTTATTAATTCTTTGCAGGTTTACGGCCAAGGATCTGGCCTGGACTGTAGGCGCCATGTTCAGAAGTTAAACTTGCTGCAGGGTGAGGCAGAGGAAGCAATTGGTTGGATGTCTTGGTAGAGTGTTTAATCTTTATTTCTTTTGATGTGCTACAGTTGATGTGCGTCTTCACATGTTGACCGCATGTTACCTAATCTGAGCTTGCAGGAGGGTTTTCTGCCCTGTTGTAAAGCCATGACATGTCCCAGTTTTGTTGTCACCTCACAGGAATAAGCTATTGTTGAGTTTAGTGTCCTGGCACATTTCTTTTGACAAGGAGGTTTTTTTTAGATAAGTTTAGTTGATCAGTTATATGTGTTGGTCAGGCCTTTACCCATTAAAATATACGCAATAGAGTTTAGGTTTTTTGCTTGTCTGTTTTTAAATTGTTCTTTCTTGTTTATTGTTTGATGAGCTGACTATGGTGATGTCGTTCTTGCAGGCTGACAAGCATTGCAGAGGTGTGTCCTCAGAGAGTAAACATCACAAAATCACGAAATATTAGGAGTTGGGGGGGTCCTCAAAAGATCATCTAGTCCAGCCCATCCTCCACCTAAGTGTTGGCATTCGGGGGTTTCACAACTGTGAATCTGTTGAGTAATTGCTGCTGCTGTTGATAAAATACTTGTTTAGTGCAAACATTTGGG